ACATCTCAGTTGTCCTCGTTTTTCAAGGACCGTAACATCCCCCCCTTCCAGTAGTCGAGAACGTCAGCCTCTCTGCTCCTATGATGCTGCTTGGCCTGCTGTGTTCATCCAGCCCTGCACCTTGTTGTCTCAAAAAACCATGAGTTTTGTTTTGATTGACAACAGTTTTGAGTTGTTAATAATGTTCTTCTTAAGATGTTCTTGAATTGTTTGATTGACTGTTCTATGATCACATAAAAAAATTTTTTTCAAATGGACTTTTCATAAAGGTGTCAAACAAAATATGATTGAGTTTGAATAGGGTTACTGTTTATTGAAGAGGAATGGGGTGAAGCTATAGTCCCTGACACTGACTCATGAAATTGACCTGTTTCTGTGGAAGGTAATGGGACCAACTCCAGCATAACCTCATGATCCGACAATGTAACTATTGGCATTGAGGGGTGAGGGGAACGATGTGAGGGAGAGGCACTGTCATTTGGGAAATCTCATTGAGTTCAAGCCACAAAAGTAAAAAAGTCCATCCTTGTGAGAGAAGTGGGCGACACAGTTGTGACTCTTGACTTGAATTTCTCTCAGGGTCAGAAGACAAGGAAATTGCTCAATCCACTGTGCTGTTAGTACTTATTCTGTTTTGTATGATGGCTTGGTCTGCAGTTAAACTAGTTTGCAGCAGAATCAGTAATGGTGCTGTAGAGAGAGGACAATTATATTGTTGCAGTCCCCTTAAAAGCACAGATTTGCAATCTCAAAAGTATTGAATAAAGGTTCTGGAGATGGTGAAAAAGAGCTGGCATTGAGCCCAGTTAGCTACTGTCCATCAGTACAGTGAGCTCATTGTGGCTCTGATACAGTTATTTTCAATGTTATTAAATAAATTAAACTTTATATTAATCACAATACTATTCACTGCACCACAATCACATCTGGCATCAAATCTGCTTTTAAAATATTTATTCTAATTTAAAAATCATACAACACTGCAGGGACTACACTTCTGATGTATTTTATCTGCGGGAAGCCTTGAAAGGCACATTATAAATACAAATTGTTCCCGATTTACACAAATTAGTGAGATGACAGGTTGGGTTCTGATTTGTATGGAATTGGATGCTTTTCGGGCTGTTAGCTGGGGTTCCCGATTTACACAAATTAGTGAGATGACAGGTTGGGTTCTGATTTGTATGGAATTGGATGCTTTTCGGGCTGTTAGCTGGATTGTTAACATCAACATCAAACTAGAATTTCTTCCCCACCCACTTTGTGTGGCATTTTCAATTAAATTTTACTGAAGAGCTATTTGAATATGATTGTCAGTTCATTGCAGAATTAGACACTGACCAATAGGCCAACTGAAATTCAGAAAAGATCTGACCAACCGACAAGATGTAGATTTCTGTACAGAGCAAGTGTGAACCCAAACTTAGAGCCGAAAAGGTAGTCATCTACATGATCTACATCTGCTCTGTGTTGAGACAATGACTTATAGCCAGACTGCCACACTGCTCTTCAATAATTTACCAATTCCTTTGGTAGATATTGTGGATCAGGCCAACAAATTGACCAACCACATAATATAATTTGTAATCACAACTGAATTCATCCAGTTTTGGCATGAGAGCGTACATGAGACAAGTAGAGTAGCAAAGCGGTTATCTCACTGGATTGGCAATGTAGACGTGTATGTTAAAAACCTGGAGATGAAATGTGAATTTGAATTTTATTACTTATATAAATCTGAAATAAACACCAAGACAAGGGCGCAAACTGTTGAGGAAAGGCAGGCGGTGATGGAGGAATTGCACTGTCTATCAACAGCAGTTTAATAGCACCACTGTTTACCAAGCTGGGAGAAACCTGAAGGACATATCTTGCCTTCACTGCTCAGACTTTTTGAGTGTAGGAGTTGGGATGTCATGTTGAAGTTGTACAGGATGTTGGAGAGGCCTCTTCTGGAGTGTGGCATCAAGTTCTGGTCGCCCTGATGTGGGAAGGATATGATTAAGTTGGAAAGAGTTCAAAAAAGACTCACCAGGATGTTGCTGGGAATGGAGAGTTAAAGGGAGAGGCAGGGACATTTTTCACTGCAACACAGGTGGAGGAGGGGTGACCTTATAGAGGTTTATAAAATCATCAGGCATACAGATAAGATGAATGGAAGGTTACTTTTCTGTAGGGTGGAGGATTTCAAGACGAGGGGCATATTTTTAAGGTGACAGGAGAAAGAGTTAAAGCGGACATGAGGGTCATTTGTTTTTTTTTAAAACACAATGGTTCATGTACGGAATGAATTTCCAGAGGTAGTGGTGGATGTGTATAGTTACAATGTTTAAAATACTTATGGATGAGTACATGAATTGGAAATGTTTGAACAGATATGGGCCAGGCACAGACAGGTGGGATGCGCTTAGTTTGGATTATGATTGGCACGGACTGGTCGGATCGAAAGGTCTATTTCCGCACTGTACGACTCAATATCTGCCTGTTGGGTTTGTGGCAGGTAATGAGAGTGAAAAAACAAGGATGAGAAACACAACTTAATCTCCATTCATCTAACAGCTGCAGAGAGATCTGTCCACAGTCGTATTAGGAGGATTGACTATTACACGGATCTCTCAAACAAAAACCAGATAATGAACATCTAGTCTGGTGTAGTGTTGCCAGTTGCTTGGTAAATAATGGCCAGTACATCTAAGAGAACTCACCAATTCTTTTCAACAGTATAAGATACTTTCACATCCAACTGTTGGAGTAGACAAGCACCTCGGTTTAATTGAAAGGCAGCAGTCCCCAGTATCGTACTGAAGCTGGTGCTGAAGCAGCCTTAATTATGTGCTTGTGACTTGGTACAAGGCTTTTGACACAGACACAAAAATCACTAACAGCTGAGCCGAAACCTTGAATAAGCAAAACTGTGCCAAAGGGCTGTTTTTACCTGAATCTGTGATCTGTCAGCTTAGCAAGATCATGATTAAGCCTCACAAATAAGTATCTACGAAGGAATATCCTAAAACAGCTTCAGAATGCTGATTCAACATCGGAGTTGCCTCCGTGCAGAAGAATGGAAAACTGAACACACCAAATTAAGTTGACCACAAATATCACACATCCCTGCCCTTTATTCATGCTGAAAGGAAAGGAAGGAATAGAATCCGAAGTTTAAATGTAAAGACCAAGAGCAAGGAAGTGCGCAGGGGACATGGAGTAAATATCTCACTCCCCTTGTTACAGAGATAGTAAGAACTGCCGATGCTGGAGAATCTGAGATGACAAGGTGTAACAAGGTTCTCTCGTGGCTTATTCCACTCAGTACCATTAACTTCTGACCCTTTAAAGGTTTGGTGAACGGGGTTTGGCCGTCACTGATTTCGGTTTTTAGTCTAAGGCAGATTAGAAACAAAACGCAGGCGAAGTCTCTTTCTCTTGGTGATCAGAAGAAGTCGCTCCCGGGTGGTGTCTGCTCCTAAGCAGCCTTTACAGACAGACAAGGTCGGGTTGGGGTCAGTTTCACTCCCGGGTGTCGATATCAGGTCAGTTTCAGGTTGTCCAGCCGTTGGGCTGAGGAAGGGAGAGGTTTTTATTTCACCATCGGTCCCCAATCGTCCCTCCTCAGGCCTCCTCCAGCTCCACCAGGACCCCGCCGCAGTCTTTGGGATGGAGGAAGATGACGGGTTTGCCGTGGGCTCCGATCCGAGCGTCGGGGCTCAGGGTGCGGACACGGAGCTCCCGGAGCCGCTGGATGGCGGCGCTCAGCTGGTCCACCTCGATGCAGATGTGGTGCAGGCCTCCGTCTCGGTGTTTGTGCAGGAAGCCGCGGATCGGGCTCTCAGGGCCCAACGGCTCCAGCAGCTCCAGTTTGGTGTTGCCCAACTCGACGAAGACGGTGACGACCCCGTGCTCAGCCAAGGGCACCGGCTCACTGACCTGGGCCCCCAACACGTCCCGGTAGAAGCAGCGGGCCTTCTCTACCTCCGGCACCGCGATCGCTACATGGTTGAGGCGGCCCAACTTCCACAGGGCGTCCTCGACTCCCGAGCTGAAGGCCCGGCTCCCCATGGCAACCCTCAACATGGAGGCTGCCATCTTGCTGCCGCTCTCAAAGACAACTTTATTGACACTTTACGGGGAGGCTGTCAATCAACCTTAGACCCCGCCCATTAACCCCGGGGCACAGCCAATCATCCTTAGGTCCCGCCCAGTTTGCTGTCACCATGTGGCCCCGCCCATTCAGCCCAGAGAACCGTCACACTGTGGCCCCGCCCATTCAGCCCAGTTTACTATCACACTGTGGCCCCGCCCATTCAGCCCAGTTTACTGTCACACTGTGGCCCCGCCCATTCAGCCCAGATGACCGTCACACTGTGGCCCCGCCCATTCAGCCCAGATTACCGTC